GCAGAAGATGCTCAAGCAGCAGACCGCAGCTGGCCGTGTCTTCCGTGCTGCGGAGTACGAGGTCGGTGTTGCTCAGGCTAGGGCGCTAGGCACGCCTGACCGATACCTCTCCGTCTCCCCGATACCTGCGGGCCACGCCAACGAGTTCGAGATGTTCATGCGCGGCCAGCGCCAGCCATGGTCACCGCCAGTGCCATCCACCCTCGGCCCTGCCCGCTCATACTACATGCCGCAGGGTGGACCCATCAAGAGCGAGGACGGCGTTTCTGAGAGCGGCCTTGACGTCAAGACCAACCCCGCCACTCCCGTCAAAGCTGATGACAAGTCTACTTCACCCAGCCGCAACGACTAAGCGTGTACCGCCCTTTCCACGTCGACCTTCGATCTACTCGTCGTGCACGCACTATTCTTCATGATCGCTTCTTCAACATCCTCCAGCCACATCTTCTTGGAGACTTCTTTTGGCACCGATCATATACTTTACGAAGGCCGCACTATATCAACACGCTACAGCACGATACTCTTGTCGTTCTTTCCTGCCGCTCGCTCTGACCTTCATGTCTTTGGGCCCTAATACTTTGTTCTTGGCGCCAACACCCTGAACATATCCTTCCCATCGACACTCCAGTCTCGCGTTTTCCTTTCGATCGATATATTTGGGCGGCTTCTTTCACATTTTAGAAGTATCTGTTAGCATCTGGGCAAGCCAGCGAACCAAAAGGATCTTAGTGGGTTATTCAATGTATCTCTTTCTCATCGATGGCAAGGGCAGGTTTCAGCAGTGGTGGCTAGGTCTATGGTCGGATTTGTCGTAGTTTCGATAGTTCGTCGTATAATAGATCTTCTTCCGGCTCATATTCATGTTCGTGTCTACTTCTCTGCTGTTCATGCAATGCTTGCCTCTCAACCCGGTCGTCTTGGTACGTCTTCAAAGTAAAGAAGGTAACGAGGCTGACCTTGCGCTACACCCTGTTTAATCGCCCAATCGATCGAAGAGGGCTGCGACAGAGCACCTAGTCCAGTGGTAAGACGTCCGCGCAAGATCTTGACAGGCTTCCTAGTACTTGACCGTACTGCTTTGTGGAAGATTTCCCATCGCTGCATCTGGGTGCTGTGTCTGCAGCAGGCTAGGCACCTTGATTGCGGAAGACGTGTGTTCGATCCACACGGTGCTTGTAGATTTTGATCTTCTTTTTAGACTCGCGGCTATGCGATGAAGTAGGAGAGATAAGTATAGGAGCGTGTCATGAGATTCGGATCAGTGTACAGGATGAAATGCAATAGCGTGAGAACGGCAATAGTAGTAGTAATGATCGTGGCCACGCGGTGATGGCCGTAGAACGGGGATAGTCAAACATCTTGAGTCTAACTTTGTGCCTAGTTAAAGGTAGGAGGATAGATAGTACGTGCGTTCCGACTCCATCACTACTGCATACATTCATCCGGAGTGGCTGGAACGAGACTTTGTATGAATGATTTCATTTCAGTTCATTGCTCTTGCACATCTATATATACAACGGTGTACCCCTTGGACTCCTTGTCCTATCAGAACAAGGGTTGAGGCAGTGACCGTAATGCTATTAGAATGCCAAAATCCTTGGTGCAGGCCCTCCCTATGCTCTGCGGGGTGTCACTGACGACGCTTCTTTCTTTCCACCTTTTTACTGCAATCGTTCAGTCCTCCCACTCTGGGTTCTGCATGTAATGTTAGTACGGCACCCTCAAAGTCATGTATATTAGAATATCATACCTTTCGCAAGATGACCACACCCTCCAACACATTGGTCAGGCTGAGGTACTTCTCGTCTTCCAACTCCGCCCGCTCGCCGTGCGCCAGCAGTACCGGCGTGCTCTGTGTTTGCCATCCAGTGATGGTCTTCGGCCGACCGGCTTGGCCAACAATGTCTACTGCTTGACCAACACGGACGTTGACTGTCAGCGGCTTCAGGTCCTCGTCGAGTGTGATGAGGAAGCGCGGCGATATGGCGGTAGCGAGGTAGTAGAGTAGGTAGTGTGAGTCTCCAGCCACAAATGACTTGGCGTCGATGAGAGACACAAGTACGGTGAGAAGACCCGACGCTGCCACACGAGACAAGACCTGACGGTCAGTGTGAAATGGGTTGAAAGACAGCGTGCCCTTGCCTGCGTGCAGCAGACCTTGAGCTATGCGAACCATGAAAAGAGCGTTGGGATCACGGTGGTAGTAGCTAGCCAATTGCCGGAGAAGTTGTGCAAGACGGGCGTTGTTGGTACCAGCACCGCAAAGGCCCATGGCGAAGATGGCGTTGATGGCGACATCGTTGTCGTTGTCGTGAGAGTAACGGGAAAGAGTGTCGTAGACCTTCATTTGAGGGTTGCTAGGGCTGATGAGACCTAGAGCGAGCGGCACAGCCTTGCGGATGTTAGCCTCGCCGTAGTGCATCAGGTGGCCGAGAGTGCGGAGGATCATCTCTTGGCCGACGTCCTCGCCCATGGCGACTAACGATAGACCGATAACAGCGTAGGACTGGAGTAGCTCATCGCCCTTCTTCTCCTCGTTCTCATCCTCGATGTGCTCGTTGCAGATGTGGAGCAACTGTTGGATCTTCAGGACAGCACCGGTACCTGCCCATGCGCATACCTCGGTGAGCACAGAGGCAGACTTGGCCATGGGGTGATCAAGCGCCTTCAAGGTCTCCAGAATGACATCGACTTCTTCTTGCTGACCGAAGAAGAGTAGCGCAAGACCAAGGGCCATGAATCGGGTCCACTTGTCCTTGAGCTGCTTCGTCCGGTCCTCGTCCAAGAGCGTGTTCATCAGGGCATCAGTGACATCTCCGTTGGCCGAACCAACAAAGATCATACCAAGCGACAGCGCCGCCATGGCAGAGAGCTGCATGTCGAGGCTGGTGTCGCTGACAATCGGCAGCAGAACGTCCAAAAGGTCTTCCTTATTAGACCCGGCGTAAGCAAGACCGAGACCCATGATAGAAGCCAAGCGGATGTTCTTGTTCTTGGAATTGATGTTGTCCTCATCACCCAAGAGAGCCATGGCAGGGTCTGAGTCCATGCGCACACCCGAATTGAAGATACCGGTAGCAAGCATAGCGCCAGCCTTGACCATGTCGTCTTCGACGTGTGTGAAGGGGTCGACCTTATCGAGACCCTCTTCTACGTCCCAGAGCATGAGCATACCCAGAGAGGCGGTTGTTGACAGCATGCCCTCCTCCTTGGTCTTCCACACCCAGCTCTGCTTTGTGTTCTCGTTAAGCATGAGCTTATCATTAGCGTAACCGGCATTGACAAAAGCGTTGACGAAGGCGGAGGCAAGGTTGTGTCTGGCGGAATCGGTATTGGTGAGGCCGGCCGTCCTGCTGCTCTCCAGATGTGTCTTGTAGATGTCGTCAGGGGTCTTGGGGTCGAGAATGTTAAGCTCCTTGCCCAGCGCCTTAAAGTGGTCGGGTAGCCGCGTGTTGTTGATGCACTCCTGGAGCTCGGCATCGTCGTCCTCGGAGACGTCGAGCCATATCCGTTGGCGGCCACATAAGTAGGCCATTTGTCTCCGGATCGACTTGTCCTTGGTGGCGTTGAAAGCTTCAATGATGAGATCGGTCTCGTGTAATCGTATCGCGATGACGATTGCCTGTGTGTACTGCTTGTATTTGGCGTAGATTCGGTACGTGGTACGGAGGAACTTGTCGTTGTCTGGGTAGGTGAGTAGGGGCACGTTGCTGCTGGTGTTAGTGTCGGTGCTGCAGGCAAAATGCGGGCATATCCTACCTGACCATGTATAGAGCTACCCTCGAGTATGTGTTCTCGTCAATGTACTGCTCAATCTGATCAATCATCTCCAGCTCAGACAGGATATCAACGGCATCAGCCTCTGCGTTGTGCTTGAGGAAGAAGGGGACGAGGTTCGAGGCGAGGTCGGTGACGTCGTCGGTGGATTTCTCGTCATTCAGGCGGTTCTGGTATTCTGTGCCAATCTCAAGCGCAAGGTGGCGCATGTACTCATGGCCCCATGAGCCGAGATCTGTGGAGGGGGCCTCGAGGCGGTATTTGAGGCAGTCTAGGCGGTCTTCATCCGAATACGTCATTCCCAGAACAGACATCATGTCGGCGAGCGAGCGCTGTGTTTGTTAGCATGGTGGCGTGTATAGAGAGTTATCGGGTCTGCGCACCTTGTTCTCGCCTGCTGGCCATGATGCGTAGGCCTTCTCGAGGTTCTCGTAGTGTGGTCGGAGGAACTTGAGCGGCTTGGGCACGGCCGTCATGGAGCTCGTCGATGTCTTGATGAACTCCTTGATCTGTTCGAGGGCGGGCTTGTAGAGGCTGGTGTCGGAACCCTAGTAAACACATGAGGTCAGCGCATGTTGCGGGGACCAGCCATCGTCGCAGCAGCTTACCAGTATCCGCTCAGCCAGCATGTCAAGGTCACTCTTCAGCTGTTGGTCTTCCTCGCTGAGCTCCTCTGTGGTTTGTCATCAGTGCAAGTCCATGACGATAGCCGTCGGCGCTGTGCCGGGGACCAGACATACCGCCAGTTGTCGCAACACCGCCCTTCTTGTCCTCAAGATCTGGCTTTGCGTCCTTGCTCTTGTCCGCGTCATTGCTCACGGGCGCCTTGCCCTTGCCCTTGTCTGCGGCCGTGGGCTTCTTCTCGTCGTCCTTCGCCATGTTGATGATGTGTAGCTAGGGCAAGCGGCGAAGTGTGTCTATGTGTCGGGACGAAGCGGCGTCGATAGCGACGGTGGAAGGAGATTCGGGGTGCTGAGAGATGTAGATGCGGCGCTCAAATGGGTCGGAAGAGCGAGAGGCAAGTCGAGTGGGGAGTGGTAATAGGTTGATGTCGATGAGGCAGCTCTTGCTTCGCGTACCACTTCCGCCGCGCTAGGGCCAAGCCCCGTCCGCCGATGATGAGCGCCCGCTCCCTCAGAACCTCCCGCCAAAAAATATTGTTGCCGCATACAACCCCGAAAATCAACACCACACGACGCCCATAGGCCACCCAGGCAACTACCATGAAGCTGAACGTCAAGAATATTCGGTACCTCTCCGCCGATGATTGGCGTGTTCTCACTGCGGTATGCGCCCGCCCGCAGGCTTTCCGAACGTAGTGGGGGACTAACGCTGATGAAGACGATAGACAGAGATGGGCAGCCGCAACCATGAAATCGTGCCAACCCCCCTGATTGCTCAGATCGCCGCCATCCGCTCTGGCGACGGCGTCCACCGTTGCATCTCCAACCTCGCCAAGATCGGCCTCATCGCCAAAGTCCGCAACGCAAAGTACGACGGCTACCGACTCACGTATGGCGGTCTCGACTACCTCGCCCTCCACACACACCAAAAGGCCTCGACCGTCTACTCGGTCGGCAACCAGATCGGCATAGGCAAAGAGTCGGACATCATAGTCTGCGCAGATGAGACGGGCAGGCAGCTGGTGCTCAAAATCCACCGTCTGGGTCGCATTTCTTTCCGTACCGTCAAGGCGAACCGCGACTACCTGCGGAATCGCCAGGGTGGTTCGTGGATGTACATGTCGCGCCTCGCTGCTCTGAAAGAGTTCGAATTCATGAAGGCCCTACGAGCAGAGGGATTCCCTGTACCCGAGCCGATTGGTCAGAACAGACATACCGTCGTCATGAGCCTCATCGACGCCTTCCCGATGCGCCAAATCTCAAAGGTCGGTAACCCACAGGAGCTCTACGGTGAGCTGCTCGCCATTATCGTTCGCCTCGCGCAGCACGGTCTCATCCATGGTGATTTCAACGAGTTCAACATCCTAGTTGAAGAGAGAACAGAAAAAGACGGCAGTTTGTCACTGGTGCCAACCCTCATCGATTTCCCGCAAATGGTCTCCATTGACCATGCCAATGCCGAATACTACTTTGACCGCGATGTGGCTTGCATAAAGCGCTTCTTCGATCGCCGTTTTGGCTTCACGAGCGACGAGCCGGGTCCTTTCTTCAAGGACGCCACAAAGAAGCTCGTCAAGCGGTTAGATGTCCAAGTTCAAGCTTCCGGCTTCAGCAAAAAGATGGCCAAGGAACTGGAATTATACATGAAAGAGCATGGTATCGATGGCGACGCTGGAGATGTCGCCACTGGAGCAGACGGGGAAGAGGTGGACGACGACGATGACGCTGATGACGCAGGCGATGATGAGGAAGTTGAAGATGAAGAAGACGGCGGTGTTTCCCTTGAAGGTGGCCCAGTAGGCGACGATGTGTCTGCTCCCAGCGATACGATTGCAGATGGGCAGTCAACACTAGCTGCACAGATGACTATACTGGAGATAAGGGATAACGACCCGTTACCAGATCTCAAGGATATCAAGCCACCGCCACCTTCGGAACCCACCATGACCACCAAGGCCGCTAAGAAGAAAGCCGGCTGGTCTATATAGGCCTGCCAACTACATCATCTTCTGTTCCTTTGTTTCAGCGATACCCAGATCCATGTCTCCTCCCGGCACTCGTTTCATTTGAAGGCCTAAAATATACAACACATTTCTCTACATCAAGATTCCGCTGTGATAGGCTCATCCAACCCATCTTTCTCCTGATAATCTTTCTCTTCCCGAGCATCTATCTCCCCCTTAGCCTCATCCAACCCGTCATCGCTCCAGATATCAACCTCATCTTCATCACCAGCCGCTATTTCCGTGCATTTCGGAGGCACAACCTCCCTCTTAGGCCCAGACCGTATCATACGCCCAACAAAGCGTAAATCCGGATCCACGAACCCTTTCCGTATGAGCAGAGACCGTATATCTGCTGCAAGGAGATCACCATTTGCAACCTCATGATCGATCAGAACGTTACCATCGTCAAGCTCTCGTATGCATGAAGTGCTGATACACGCTGGAAGCGTGCTACCTTCTGTGACGCGGCCCAGCCAATTGTGACGCTTCCTTAGGACGTCTGCTATCAGAGGGTTGGATGTGGTGAAGACGACTGTCCGACGGGGTGGGTGGATCAGGTATTGTATTTTGTGTGAATGGCGGTTATTCATTTTGATTGGATGTATGAGATTGCCGAAGAGTGTAACTTGTGGAAGTGGGTGGACAAACGTGAGTACGTGTTAGAGATTCCATGCAGTCTCTGTGCGTTTACGTTCGGAGTTGGTGGCTTCAACGCACAGTGTACTTTCACTCATATAGTCGACCTGGGCCTGCTAATATTGGAAAGCCGCAAGAGGTCACACATATGTGCGTGAATGCTCCGAGTGCGTAACGAGAGAGAGCTCTCACGATCTGGGCATTCAATCGGTGAAGGGTAACATTTCCCTATACCTTTCGTTGTCCACCGTAACACTTTAAACCTCAGTCCCTATCTAAGTCCCCTCTATCCATACTCCCCTACGAAAGCAAACCCCCCAACCTCAAAACCCCACTCACAACAACAACCATGGTCCTCATCCTCAAAATCCCACCCTACTACCGCACCACCTCCTACGTCCTCCACTACAACCGCCACCCCACCACAACAGCCCAATACATCCTCCTCACCCCCGCCTCCACAGAAACCCTCACAACGCGCAACGCCGCCATCGCAAAAGACTGTGCGGCATGGGGCTGGCGCCTCTACAACACCGACCGCTCGCTCCCCAAGATGGAGAAATGGTTTGCCAAATACGAAAAGCTTGCCAGGAAGAACACCTGGGACGACGATATCTGGGTTATTTGGCAGAGAGAACATGGATTGAGGATTAACGGGGAGGATGAGAGGAAGAAGGCGGAGGCGGAGGCGGCTAACGGGAAGAGTAGGCTGGAGAGTGTGGTAAGGGGGGTGAAGAAAGCGCATTGGAATGTTTGGGGGAAGGATGGGTGGGTTGGGAGTGATGAGCAGAGATTGAGGATTGAGCACGGTCCTAGAGAGGAGAAGAGGATGAGGAAGTGGGCTGAAGAGCAGATGAAGGAGATGTCGGGGATGCTTGATCCTTTCTCGGATGTCCATGAGGTTATAGGAGAAGACGATGAAGATGAGGACGAGGAGCGTCCGTCGGGAGGGCTAAGAGGCGGTGGTGCTGACGGTGCTGATGCGAAGGCGACTCCGGGTGGAGAAACTGATGGGATGACTGCGGTGGTGCTTCCGAGGCATGCTTGGTTATCTCGAGGCTGAACCACACCAAAGAGCACTTAGCGATAGACAATGCCGGGACAATATTATGTTACAATACCCCTTCCATCCATCGCGTCTCAACACCTCAACCTCCAGCTTTCTCCCCATCCACCCTCCTACCTCTCCCCTCCTTCCCGCTCTCTTCCCCCCTCACCCTCTTCATCTCCTCCACTCCCTCCGTCAAATCCCTATGCACAACTCTAACCTCCCAACTATCATCCTCGCTCCACTTCACCTTCCCCAACTGCTCCGCAAAAGCCACGCTTCTGTGATGTCCACTTCCACATAGACATCCTACTCGTACTATCGCTACTTCCTCTTCTCTGCTAGCTCTTACATCCTTGATTTCCATGAGCCGTTTGATATCCTCTTCGGCGCGAGCCACTGTGTCACTGAAAGACTCGCGCTGCATGAGCTCATCTTGTAACGTTGAGTCGAGCCCCGTGCATGTCTTTCGTATTTGGCGGGATGGGTTTTCTGTTACGCGGCAGTCGTATTCTAAGTCTGGTTTTGGGGATGGTGGTGTGAAGCGGTCGTAGGAAGTTATCTCGAGGATTGGTCGTTGTCTTTTTTTGGTTTGAGAGGGAAATGTATCTTGATTGTTTTCTCTGGCTGCGGATAGTTCGTCTTCGGTGGGTGGAACGAGTCGTGTGTTTTTGACTTTTGAGGCGATGTCTGATAGTATGGCCATGTTGTTGATGATGGATTGACTGAAGACGGGAGCGACACCGGATTCGCGGTCACTATTGTTGTTGGTGGAATATGTGTAGACAAGGCGGTTCTTCTATGGACGACTGCGTATATGGTTATAGTGGAAAAGACTCTATGGTGCAGGCTTCGCGTCCTGTTTCGGTGACGCTCTTTTAGGTAAGAGTTCGCGTGCTCGGCTGCGGACAGGCTCAGGGTCTTCTGAAAACTCCTGCTCCATTGGCGCATGCATATGACGTTGAGCGCTGTGGATCCACGGGCAGACCCGCGAGTGCCGTGCAAGGTGCGTCATCGCCAGACACAACCGCATTAGATATCGCGATGATTCGCTAATACTTATACAGGCCTTTTTTGTCTGTTGGCTTGTCTGTCGCTACGCCAAGAGACTGATGTTCTATCTAGCTGAGCGTCTGTTTGAGAGACGAATTGGACACTTCACGCGCATAGTGAACAACCGCCGTATCAACTGCATTTTGGTTCACATTAAAGAGAGACTGGGAGACCATCAGAGGTGAAAATGTAGTGTGTAGAAGTTTGAATTCATGTGTACAAGACATGCCCAGGTGTTGATCACAACACACTGCGTCGACGTCTTGCTCGCCCAGCTCCATCTCCTATGCAACTTCTTTCTTCCAATGAATTCACACGCCCAAGATCATTTGTATGTAACGCACGTTGCTTCGTGGGCCAATTATTCGCGGCATTCTCCACCGACTGCACTCCTACCCCGCTGTAACCCAGGTGGTGTAGTCGTTGATCCATGCGCGCGCCTGTTTCCTGGCCCGGACTTAACCCAGTTGTGTCCAATAACTTCCTCGTCGAGAGATCTTCCTGCCGGCTGTGGCGCATATCTTGAGGGACCTTTTTTAGGGGCCTTGTAGCCTTCTCTCATGCCCGAAGGAGTCGTGTGGAGCTGCTCGTTGGACAAGGGATCTTCCGCAGTGCTTTGGATATGGTTTGCTACGAAGCCGGGGGCGGACTGAGTTTCGTCATGAGACATCGGTGGATGCTGTACGGCAGTGGAAAAATGTGACTTTAGTCGTCGAACACATGACTCGAACGTTGGCTTGTCGTCGGGTGGCGTTTGGTCTTGTGATTGAACGACCTCATCTTCGTCGTGAGACATCGGTGGATGCTTTACGGTAGTAGGAGCGTGTGAGTTTACTCGTCGAACAAATGACTCGAACGTTGGTTTGCCGTCGGCTGGCGTTTGGCCTTGTGACTCAACGACCTCGTCTTGATAGTAGAGACCATCTGTTTTGTTGAAGAGAGCACCCGGAGGTGCCAGTTCGGAGATACCCGCCCGCCAGTTTATGATGGTAGAAAGCGAAACGACTGTTATCCTGCACGCCATTGCGGAGGGCGTAGTTACATAGCGATACTTCACTATCCGTCCCGGTGAATCTACCCGGTACTCGCGGTAGAAAGCTTCTATAGGTATCTCAATGGAAACGGGATCGAAGGGGACGAAGTTGATAGACGGTCTCGGCGGTATCTGCTGACTGGGCAGATACTCCGATGGGTCGCAAAGTGAGGGCATTTTCGGATTGGCGCAACAGTACGCTGTTGTGTTTTGTGATAAAAAGGGAACTATAAATGGATACCGCCCCCGTTGAGACTAAAGAATGTAAAAGCAGTATAATGTGGTCGTCAAGCGTGTTGTGTTAAAAGCGCAGAAGGTTGATGATGTTATTTACTACTTGATTTAGCACGGCCCAAAAACGAGAAGGTGAGAACGTACCAAACATGGCGTCCAGTAATGAGGGCTGCGACTACCATGAGGATCCACCAGCTATCAGAGTGCACCTTCCTCCCGGTCGTTGATCTTGGACAACACACTTTTATCGATGTCATGCTCCGCCAAATGCTCGACGGCGGCTTCAGTTGACAGTCGTTTGCCCTTCTTCAGCGAGTCAAGTGCTCCCTTCGGCTTGGTTCGTCGCTCGAGCTCCTCTATCCAGTAGGCTTCAAGTTGGCCGCGACGTCTGTCGGACAGGAACTGCTCATCCTCGTCTTGCCGGAATGCCTTGCAGAATGCATCGCGGAAGGGTCGTGATTCGCACACCCACTCGAAGATCTTGAAACAGTCCATATAGATCCTCGGATCGTTGGTGATGTAGGGTTGCAGGACTCCGGGCACATAGATGATGTACGGCATCGAAAGTTGCGGTTGTAGTAGTATTGGTTGTCGTAGTTAGTAGGTGTAGCTTTGCCAGTGAGATACCTTGCGGCCTTTTGATTGCTAAAAGGTAAGCGTAGACGAGTGTAATTGATATTTTGCTAAAGTGAGAGCACTATCAGTGAGAAGACCGAAGTTCGGTAACTACGTGTTGGCGTTGAGTGAGTGTGGCTCTTCAAGTAATGTACAGTCACAGCGGAGGGTGATTTTGGTCAACGCATCTTAACATAGCGGGCCATGATCATCGTTATGGGTGAGTGGCATCCGATGATTGCAGATTTCGTAGCAAACGGAGCATTACACGAACCGCGTCATATGAAAGCAGTGAAGGCGATTGCGGATGGATCCTTGCCATGGTGTTGAAGTGGGTAAAGGCAGTCGTCTGGCAGTTCCTAGATCTACAGCAGCAGGGTGTGAGATGAATACGGTGAGACTCATGCAGCAGTGTAAAGTCATGGCAAGAGTGGTTTGGCGCGTCGGAGGGTGAACGCCTGGGGAGGAATGGCGAGCTAGCCCCCCAATCTTGGCGAATGACTCAATGGCGAAGCACCCCTCCAAAATGTTGCAGGCCAAAAAGTTGACGGGACCGACACGCTGCAGCCAACCGCCAAGATGAGCACCGAATCCGGAGTCAAGACACAGTCGACGTTCGACATCGTAGCGACATACCGCCGCATCCTCAAGGATGACCCGGAACTCACCATGCCCGTCGCGGCCATCGAGGCGCTCGTAGAAGCCATCGCGCAGAGCTCCGTCTCGACCGTCGCAGAGACACTCGACCTGCTCGAACGCCACACGGCCGCCCTCAAGGCCTCCATCGCGAATCCAATCTCCCTCTCCGCCGGCACAGATCTCTTCCAGCGCTACCTCATCACGACGCTCAACCGCCCGGCGAGCCTGAACCTCGGCCCCGACGACGACTTCCGCGCGATACGCAACCACCTGCTCTCCAACGGCAAGCTGTTCGTGGACCGTGCGAAACAGAGCAGGGAGAAGATCGCGAGTTTCGGCAAGCACTTCATCCGTGACGGCGGCACGGTGCTCACAAATGGAGGATCGCGAGTAGTGGGTGCGCTACTGCGAACGGCCGCCGAGTCGAGCACTCTCCGGTTCAAGGTCATATACGTCTTGCCCTCGTCAAGCTCGTCAGATGCGAAAGAGGGCCTCCAGACTGTCGCCGACCTCCGAGAGCACAATGTACCAGTCGCCACAATTCCAGATTCGGCCGTCGCCTACTCACTGGGTAAAGTCGACATGGTCATTGTCGGGGCTGAAGGCGTCGTCGAGAACGGTGGCATCATATCGCGCATGGGCACGTACCAGTTGGGCGTCCTGGCTAAGAGCAAAGGAAAGCCCTTCTACGTGGTCGCCGAGAGCCACAAGTTCGTTAGGCTATATCCACTCAGCCAGTTCGATCTGCCCATTGAGCAGAAGGTACTCGACTTCAAGGTCGCAGAGGAGCACAAGGCGGAACACAAGCCCAAGAGCGACGAAGAGCAACGGAATGTCTTTGACGAAGCCATCGCAGACATGACTGCGAAGCAAAAATCGACCGTCGTTCCGCTCGACGCTCATGACGCTGTCGACTTTACGGTACGCTCTGCTTACATCAATTATGACCCCATGCGCTAACCTGAACTAGCCACCCGACCTGATCTCCGGCATCATCACCGAGTCTGGCGTTCTCACTCCGTCTGCCGTGTCAGAGGAGCTGATCAAGATATGGTTTTGAGCCCTCCCTGAGCATCAACTCCTCACCCCACACCAAATACAAAGGCTCCATCGCGACTCATGCAACGGGCATATACGCGTTTGATGGATGCTCACATTCGTGATAGGAATTATGTGGAAAGCGAATCTGTGACTCTGCAACCTTCACGCCTTCGCCGTAATCGGCGCATCACGTCCTGAGACTGCGGACCGCGCGTTAGAGGATATCGCGCACCTCGAACCCTCGCTTCAGAGCGTCTGGGAACTGGCTCTATCGCATAAGAGGACTGAAGAACGAGGAAACGGCCAACGATAACGACGTCATGGAATAGTGTTGCGCCGACGATAACAACATATGATACCCAATAGACATATTCAATGATAACATGTCTTCGCCCTGTTGAACATTCAAGGACTGTCCTTCTGGTAATGACATATCTGGAGTGTGAGAATGTTGAGCGTGAAGTATGCGAACATGTTGACGATAGTAGCCATTTTACTCGACCATGAATGCGGCCGGAAGCATAAGAAGCTTCCTGTCCTCCTCTTGTTTCCCATCAGTACGCAACGCTTGCAAGAAAACATGCCGTATCTAGTTCAACCACCCGCGCAGTCCATCGACGCCTACAACCCGCTGTTGACCTACACGCTCGCGGACCCCCTCCCCGCCGAGATAAGCATACTCAAAGACCTTCAGAAATGGGGCTGGCAAATCTCCGTGCATTTCGAGGACGAAAAAATTTATATCGATGCCGCAAGAGAGACCGAGAAAGCAATAAAGAAGATGAGGCGCAGAACGCAGATGATATATGGCGACGTGGTGGGGGACAGTCCGAGGTTGACTCTAGAGGAAATGTGGCAAAGGGAGGCGACTAAGAAGGAGGAGGAAAGACAATACGACACCAAGGAGAAGGAGGAAGTTAACGATGCAGCAAGCATGATGTCGCGGATGACAGAGCAGAGAGCTTGGGTGCGTTGGGCTGATGAGGAGGCTGGGTTGGAGCCGGAGAGTCCTAACGTAAGCGAGTCTCTGATATGTGAATATCAGGAAGAGACCAAAATATGCAACTGATGAACCCAGACAGGTAGATAAAACCACCGATGAACAGTCCTACCCGTCGCACGCTCTGAGTTTAGAAGACTATGAGGATTCAGTCATCGACGTTTACGAAGGGCCTGCTGGCAGCCCCAGTACGAGCATACATACTTACAGCGCATCTCGTTTTATTGAAGAACACGAACCCGACCGGCATACATTTGTACCACGTCACTCTACCCAACGCGCTGCGCATCAGCCTGCAGGTCAGGCACCCTCATCATCCTCTATGTCTTCTCCAATCTCTCCTTCTTCAGAAGCCCCATTCGGTCTCATGGGGATGTCAGGATACTGGTGTCCGCCCGTTCTTCAAGCCCGGCCGCAAAAGAACCCTCAATCTCAATCCATCGCACCAAGCGCTGTGGTTCCACCACGAGACTCGAAGGAGACTCGGAAGCTCAAGAAGAAAGTTACCCGCCGTGACTCAGAACCTTCGTTGAGGAAGTATCTGCCACTTGGGTTTGTCAGGCCCCTGTCTTGGGTGAAAGCAAAGCGAAACGCGAATGAAGGGGCCAGTGCAGACGCAACCGCACCAGATGAGCAACAAACCACCGCTCGATCAGAGAGCTCCTTTAGCCCTTATCAACGCACCACCCCCACGCAATCTGTTCCGAACATTCACCTGCAAGAGTATTCCTCTACTTTTCTTCAACCTGAACCACGTAACATATCGCCCGCCTTTTCTACTACCTCCAGTCTTATCTTCCCTGGCCGTGAGATAACCCCCGAAGCCTACTTCCAGCGCACGAACCGACCCCGGAAGAATCTACAGCCCCGCCAGCTCACACCTCCACCAGGACTGGAGCCAGAAAACGATCCCTACATGTGGCTAGCGTGGCATCGCGGCCTTAGAAGGCAGCAGGACAAGACTGATCGTGTGCTGGGCAAAGACAGCATACATAGATCAGATAGCGGTAATGCTAGTTGGTATGATGGGTTCCAGAAGATGATGAAGGAGAAGGAAGCAAAGGTGGCCAAGGAAGAGAAGAAGGCTGAGAAGAAGGCGAGGAAGCAGAGGGAGAAAGAGGAGAAGGAAGAGCGGATACGCAAGGAGAATAGGGAAAAGGAAGAGCGGATACGCAGAGAGAATGAGGTGAGGGAGGCTTTGAGGAAAAAGGGTGATTTCGCAGGTGGGTACTTGCCACGGTATGCGTGACCGCCTCTACTTACGTGCATAATGTAGGCATAATGAATACCTGGGCAGGTTGATGCTCGCAGACGGTAGGACAACGTCGTCGCGGTGGTTGTTCATGACTCGGGACGTTTTGATCGAGATCACGGAGGAGTGCAACATCTAGGACGATACCTTACAAGCCTTCGCATCTACGAAAGCTTCTTCATTTGTCCTGTCTCATGTATTTATGGATATTAATATACGAGAATTATCCCAAGAGCAAAGTTCAGTCCTATCTAACCAGCTCGTAAGAGGTTAGTGCCGTTGTTGCCTTGGGCGTAAGCGATCCTTCGAATATACCTAGGCAAGCATAAAATCTGCGCGTGCCGCCAATCTACCAATTGACTATTTCTTCCAACATAAGCACCACATATCTGACCCCGTACCCTTCTTACCAATACTATATCGTATTCAAACACAATGATCCAGCAACCCGAAGACATCCTACGAGACCTGATCATAACAACGGACGGCCAAGCCGAGGAGCCGTACTCCTATCACAATTGGGGCTACACCATCTACCGCACATGCTACACGCCAGAATCTCAATCGCAATGGGAATCTCTAATCGAATCCATCCAGCTAGGGGTCGAAAAATCCCTCCCTGGGTCGCAAAACGATGAGCCACCAACTACTTCTCAACTCCTACGCTCTCTCTTACATCTAGACTTCCGCTCCGATGCTTCCCTGTACGATGGTCTTACTGTCGAACAGCTTCGTCAGACATATCTCCATCCAGCAGAAGATTCTGCACCCCCATCACCGAACTTCTACAGAAGCGAGCGTCTCTTCCTTGTCGCCGACGCAGACGTTTTGCTGGATCCCTATTTTCTGCCGAAAGAGAACGAGACAGCAAAAATGTCCAATACTGACAATGTTGGAATTGCTACAAGCGACATTGCAACCACGCAGAGTGTGCAGAAATGGCAATATCAACACCATGGCTACAGCAAATCCTCCAGTACCAAGCGACGATGGCTCAAGTGTGTCGAGGTGGACTACGTTGCTGCGGATCATCATCCAAGGAGAAGAGGTCAGGGTCTCGGGGACCGTTACTTTGGCTGGTTCATGATGACGGCGGAAAGTGTGGTGGAGCTGTGGGAGGTGTTGCTTGATCAAGACGTCGAGGAGATTAAACCTAGGTTGGTTGATGTGATGATTTGTAAGTGCATCATGGCCTGTTCGTGTGTTGGTGGTGAACAGGTGTGCTAATGCTTGGACAGGGGGAGGGTATTGAGGCTCGATGGAACGATGAGCTCATGATGGAAGGCCTTCTGTCACTTTTGCGGCGCTGTTGGATTCTACGCCATCAATGTTGATATATTTAGGTTGCTAGTAGTTATGAAATCGGAGGCAAAAATGCGATAATGTATACATTCATATACCCGGCTATCGAACGTCACTACGTCCACACGACTCCCTTCCTACATGAGGTCATGTTTGGGCTGATCTACATATGTAACCCTTTAGGAGCAATACTTTGCGCCTTCACCAGGCTTAACGATACCCATATCGATAAAAGCCGAGTAATTCCAATAGTCCCCTTGTACTCCCTCGCCAGCTACCGGCACATTCCCAGAGAATTTCGCAGTCCAGTAAGCGCTACCCCTAGTGTACTTTGCAAAGGCGTACAGCCCGGTGTTCAGATTCTTCTGACGGTTTGCAAATTTGTTGTCCGCCACCGTCTCGATTGACCATTCACCGATGAATACAGGAAACTTGCCATCTCCTGCCGATGCCTTGGCATCTGAGCATATGTCTGCGCTCACGGTATCAGAATCTGTTGGGCGGCCAGCGAAGTAGTAGTTGTGTACGTCGAAGACAAGATTGGTGGACGCTGGGAACTTGGGAGACCAGAACGCTTCACCTCTGAAGCTGCCTTGGAACATTACGGGTATGTTCTTGTTCACGGCTACTGTTTTCGCAATAGCCGCGTCAATGTACTTCTGTACCCATGCGACACCGTTGTCTGTCAACGCGGCTGGTGTGCCGAAGGTTGTGATGTCGCGATTGTCCACCGGTTCGTTGATCGGCTCTAGAGTGTATGATTGCGGACTGCCAGAGGATTGAATAAAGGCCAGTGCTGCATCGACAGCGCGTAGGGAATAGTCGAGGTTCGTGGCGTTATTGAACCAACCGAAGCGGCCTTCGCCTTCACCAAAGCCCATACCGTTCACTCCACCAGGAAGGGAGTGAATATCGAGGATGATGTGCATGCCGTACTTTGCGATTGCGTAGGATGCGATGTTCTTGAAGAACCGAGTTTGGCCGCCGCTGTAGAAGTTACTGCCAGGAACCTTGACCCATGCAGCGTAGGTTGTGGGGATCCTCAAGACGTTCACACCAGCAGTGGCTAGCTTGTCGATATCGGCGGGTGTGATGAACGTAGCATAGCGACGCTCTAGTACAGGGCCACATTGCGATCCCAGTTTGGCACAGCAGGTCCACTCATCGGTCGTGGTACCGCAATTCTGCGACCACCAGGCTGGGTCAATAACAGCTTCTTGGGCAAGCCATCCACCAAGGTTGATGCCATTGGCTTTGAAGGTCTTCCAGTTGAGGTAGGTAGGTGTCTGGCGCCCTGTTGGACTACCGGTGGTGAAAGATGAGAAAGAGAGGAGGGATGCGACGATGGTGTTGAAAGCGATCATGGTTGATGTTGTGGTGTCTGCGTTCCTGGCTGAGGTTGGACTCTGTTAAACATGTTGTTGCTGGTCTTTATAGCTCATCAGTACACCCCATGTTGTCCTCTCTGTCCAGCACAATACACACCACGACCTCGGGTCATGGCGACGTTGAAAGTCGAGCGTAAAATGTGGAGCCGGTCGACCTAGCTACCTAGGGTTAAGAGCCAAGATATTAACATGATCAGGCATAGCTATCCTCAAGCCGCTTCAAGACATAGCGTCGTTGATGGCTGTGTTACTGACGAGGTGTTTACCCCAGGTTCCACCCCGGACTTGACCCTAGACTTGGCGCCGTCTTGTGGGTGCATAATAGTGCCTTAGGTCTTCTAGAAGAGTTAACCCGAGCTGCGACTACATGGTCAGTTACTATCCGCATGGGTCGCATTGTCCCGAGCGACCTGGGCTCCACGTCGGGTGGTGTGAACGCTACGTGGCCCACATCCCGAGGTGTGTATCGGCTTCGTTCTGTTTGCGTACCTAGGTACCAAGGGGAGGCTTACGTCTTTGACGATGACACAAATGACAGCAACATATCGTCTTGAGGTGCGATGACACGCACGTAGACGACAGTTGATCTAGGGAAGCAATTACGCGACAGCTATTCGTCGTTGCATAATTAGTCCTGCGCTCGCGGCGTACCCCTTGGTCAGGTCTCGGCGCCCGAGAGGAACGAGAATGCTCATGATAGTACTGTTGTATCGCAAGTGCTCTGCCAGCGCTGTAGGTTGTGGCATCAGGGAGTCGACGGACTAAAGTTCGTCCATAATGACGAGAGTGCCTTGGTGAGCCGTCCGTGCGTTCCAAGGCTGTCTGGGTCGCTCAACCGGCCAGCAGCCCCTCTAGCCCTTCACATCCTCACCCTCTCCGTTGTATTGATGCTGATGGCTTGTATGTCATTTACATCCTCTGAAGCTCCAATTGCACAAGAAAGGCCCTCGATGATCAAGACAAAGTCATAGTACGTGACCGCGCGGCCTGTCTGTCGAGCGTCGGAAGTACAGCTCACACAGCGAATTCATCATCGCAACGGACAAGACCGAGAAACGAATGCTTCACACCCCTGGGGAACTGGAAAGATTCCAGTTAGCTCACAAAATCCACTTTAGCTATCAACAATGCATGCAACGCACCACCTCATACAAGGGAAAAACTAAACAGGTCTGCAGACTACATTAGCATGAGTACATGCAAAGTGGGTGTGTTAACATTGATGTAGACCCTAGGGTGTTCACCTTTTCCCTAGGTTGACGTGGCACTGCCTTGGAATGCTTCCCTGGTGACTACTTCCAGCGCATACCTAGGGGTCCCGGGGTAGCTTCCACCCATATGCCCTTTCCAAGTGCGAGAGAAGAAACGATCCACGCGACGCTCTTATTCTGCATCCGTACTAAGTTTGATCTACAGATCTACAGCTATGGGAAACCAAGCTTCGTCAGCACTCGGTCTTGTACGCCCAACTGCAGTCGCGCAGCCGACACCATTACAGCTGACCGGACAGATCAGTAAAAGGACGCACCGTTGCTCGAATAAAGATCATATTACGGAGTCGGCACGACGATCGCGCACTGTCTCGAAGAGTGTCCCTGTCGATCTTCAGAAACACAGCTTGCTTAGCATTCCACCGGAGTTGCGCAACTGCATTTACGCCCATCTGCTAAAACCCCGAGACTGCATCGTACTATCTCCTATGATACATACGAAAATTACGGGCATTGCATTACTGAGAACATGTATGCAACTTCACGATGAAGCTGCTAGCTTCTTCTACGCAAAGAATTCATTCCAGTGCTACATTCGTAAAAGCGTACTAGCACAGTCAGCATCGACAGCGAACATCGAATTACCTCACATAACATCTCCCATATCACCCAGGTTCTTCCGCGATCCACTAGCCATGCAAGGCGGTATCTTCTTTCCCGCGCCGCGGTACCATCGGTATCTCACACGGCTAACCATCTACTTCAAGGTATCCATACGCGACCTAGCTTTCCCAGACCCGGAAAAGGGCGACTGGGGAGACGCACCTCGGGCAGACTTGGACATGAATCAGTACATTCGCCGACCTTGCGATAACACCGCCATCACATCCGCGGATATGGGAAAGATACAACAAGCGATTCAGCGTGAAGTGTTACGTGTGTATCTGAAGATGAAAAGCCTCTGGACAGAAAAGGAAGGTACGTGGGCAGGTAAAGTGACGATGCCAGCAAGGTCCACGGCAACGGATGACTTGGAGTTTTGGATTGAGCTTGCGGCAGATGAACACGTCACGCACGAAGGATAATATGGGGAGCACCTCATACCAGAAAAAAACTGAACAGGTCTAGAGCCTACATCGACGCCAGGTCACCTGTTTTGTAGGTTTTCATGTTGATGTAGGCTGCAGGCCTGTTCAGTTTTTTCCTTGGTTGACGTGGGAGTGGAGACGAACACGGGGAGATGATCTGTCGTATGACTATGCATGGACGCGCCGGTGGTCGTGGAAAAGGAAGCACTTGTTGTTCCAAGTTGTATTAGCTCAGCCAAAAGCTCGTTCTGGATGAGTGCACTACCTGTTTTCCATCTACGTTGATTGCAAGTTTTGTGAACATCTCCAGAGCAAATTAAGTCTATGTCTACAATGGTGCAGGAAAGGTGTCCTTGGATGCTGTCAACGTATTGTCATCTGTTGGCTCGGCACCACTACTACTCTTCCCCGTCATCGTGATGCACATAATACAGGACACGTCTCACATGCACACCGGAAATAAGAGATATGCAAGAAAGAGAATATCACTTGTACTTGCTTTTACTATCCCAAAGTCAATGCATGCAGAGCACACGCACGCACACCGCAATTCACAATTCACATCTTCATGCAGCACAGAAAAGATCAAGTGACCAAAAGTACCACAAAGAATTAGTTAATAGACATTAAGTAACCAAGACTACCGATCGATCCATCCCAAATCCCCATGCCAAGCCAACGCGTGCCTGCCTGCCCTGTCCATCTCCGATCGGCACCTCCCCAAGCTTCCTTCCAACTCCAGCCAAGCCAAAGATCCTCTCCTTGCTTGCCGTGTTCCCCACACGCCAACTCCACGCAATGTGAAAGTTTTCTCCGGTGGCATCTCGGCACCAACGGCACCGACTGTCGTCATTTCGGAAGAAAGGTTGCGATTGCAGTGAGGGTAATGGGGGCGATGATGTCAGTCCTCCCTGAGTTTGACTCGTGGGGGATTCGAGGCTGCGATTAGGCTGCTTGGCAACGACGTCCGCTGCTAGCTAGTTCCGCCTTGCTGGACTGCAGACCAGTGCAAGGCTTGCCGTCATTTCTTCGTCTTTCGTGCGTCGCCTTGGTATATGAGTTTATTACTCGTCGGTGTCGTCGACGCTCTCCATGCTTGGCGATGGTGACGAGTCGCGGACGTATCGTGAAGAGAGAGTTGGGCTGGCGATGGGCTGTTGGGCAATGGAGATTTGGCCCTCGGCTTCGACGTCCTCGATGGGGATCCTGAGCATCTGTCCGCCAACGAGGTTGGGGACGTAGACGTATTGTGTTGCGGGTGAA